AAGAGCTGACTCTTAATAAAGGCATAAAACAGGAGTCTTGTCTCCTGGCCAATTTCTTTCATTAATGACAAATGAGAGTTTTACCTCTCAGACCTTCTCAAATCTGTCTATTAAAAAAAGAATAAGGATAATAAAACTTGTTCTCTTGTACAGTGCAGCTGGGAGAGTCAGTGTCGTGCTTCTTGCTGTTCCTAATATAGTGCAACATCTGGTGATCCCTTGATGTACATTTCAGCCACGAGATGAAGGACGTTGAAGTCTCCCTCCTCCACCTTTGAGAGGTAAGAAGCTTTTTCTCCATGTGCTCCTGGAGAGCTACAGGTCTGAGTGACGCCGGGCAGAGGGCCCAGCCAGTGAGCAGGCTTGGAACAGCAATCGCGATGAAGCTAGAGTTTATAATCCTGGGATAAACCACTGCGTTTACATAATTGCATTTGCGGGCCATTGAGATAATGGTTTTCCTGCAAAAGGGAACCAAAGTTAAGCAGAGGAACTCGTTCCCTCTCTCTGAATTGGAGGTAAATAGCTTAGGACTCACTGAATCAGAAGGCTTTAAAATGTTACAGCTGTGGCCACCTAGGCATGGTACCACGAGAGCGGAAGCAGCAGCAGTAGCAGAGCATCCTGCCACGGCCAGCCTGGCTTCCCCGCCCGGTATGTACTGTGCTCCCTGTGCCAGCCCGTCCGGAATTCTTAAAACACGAACTAGCTCCAGTGATTCGGCTTTGGACAGAATACCGTGGTCACGAAACTGAGAGACAGCTGGACAAAAGACGCTGTAACAGAGATTTTTCCCCATGGTCCCACCCCATCGGTTTTGCGGCGAAAAAGTTTCCTTTCTGAGTGTTTTATGCCTTTAACTTTCCTATGTTTGTTTTAATAATTAGCCGTGTGCTCTCCCTGCGGCTGAGGGTGGAAACCCTTCCGCCTTTCCCTCCTGCTCCGGTGCCGGAGGGGTCGAGACGGCGGCCGGGCGGGGCTTGAGAAGCCACGGCTTGGGTTTCTCGGTCCGGGCTCCCCTTCCCCCTCTGTCCCTCCCGCCTCGCAGCAGCCGCCACTGTGCTGTTAGCACACGGCACGGCGGGGAAGATGGGCAGCTCCCTCGCTCCCACAGAGCGGCTCCGCTAAGGGAACGGCGGCTTTGTCTTGCCCCCTGCCCCCTTCCCCGGGGGGTGATGAACGAAAATATACTGGTATATTAATTACAAAATGTGAATCTACTGATATAACATGATATTGTTGATAAGTTACAGTTTTAAAGATTCATTTGGTTTTTACACCAGGATTTTTGGGAATTTTGTTTTAAAATTATATCATTTAAGAGGTTCTTTTCCAGTTAGGCTGGGCACTGGCTGCGCTTTAGCTCTTTCTGGACAAGAATCACCAACAAGCTCAGATATTTCTGCAATAAAATTGCATATGAACACTTTAGCTCTTTGCAGTTTCTGGGCTGACAAAAAAAACACAACCAAACAAAAAAAAACAACCAAAAAAAAAACCCAACCCAAAACCCAAAAAAACCCAGATGAATTTGAACAAAGTATATTTGTATTAATTTGAAAAATGAATTATCAGTCTGAAATTGGATTCACTAACAACAGTAAAGTTTAATTAATTTATTAGCTTGGGAGAAGGTATGTTTGTCTTTTACTATCAGCAGGTCCAAATAGTCACATCAAATACCTATCACCTTCGAGGAGTGAAAAAAGACATGTGTTTCAGGATTCAAGACGACATCTAGTGATGCTAAAGTTCAACGTCTTCAGCTGATGGACTTTTCCCAGACTTTCATTTATTTGGACTTGTCAGGAAAATTAATCCACAAACACCAGAGGTTTACGTCCAAAAAGGAGACAAAGGCATCCTTTTACTTTATTTGAATAAAGGGAGAGGCCATGGGGCATTCCCCTGGGGTCTCTCAAATTTTTGGAGGGCGCAGCCTCCTTTTATCCCAATTCCCAGCCGCTTGTCCCTTCTCTCTTTCCCCATAGGCTGAGGTACTTGAGAGGTACAGGCTTTCGGGAACGCCTGATACCTGGGATACTTCCCCCCCCTCCCCCCGCCAATGCAAAATTCATGGTGCTCTTTCAGTGCCTCTTTCATCTTTCAGTGGAATCTATCCTATTGTTTCTGTTGTCTCTCAGTGATAGTTGCGTCTTATCAGCAGACCCACAGCTTGTTTGTAAAGAAAAAGATCCCTCTCAGACTCTAAGCCAGAAATGAATAATTTTCCAAAAAGATGTAATAGTACCTCATGTAATATCTCACATGTTTTTGGTTTGTTTGTAAGTACCAAGGGCTGTGGTTTTACTTTGTGGTAATTGGGATCATTTAGATTTTTGGGAATCCAATTCATCAAGCAAATTCCTTCATTGGTACTAATGTTTTCAATTCAGATTCTCATCCTACAGGTATCATCGATAAAACTGAACAAACAATGATCCAATCCTGCATAAAGCCCATACAGCTCACTCTGGTATTTTTACAACACTTTCTGCAAAGGTAAAAAGTGTAAGTGCAAATACACAGATTTTCAAAGGCTCAGAAAAGGCTTTGGAGATTCAAAACTTAAATATTTGTCCTGTACAGTTTTGCAGCCTTTATCAGAGTAGACCTTCTGATCCTTGAAAAAGTAAGTAATCTCATCAACTATCACATACCTTTGCAAACAAACAAACAAAAAAACCCAAAAAACAAACAAACAAGCAGTACCCATGCTGTCTGAATTAATTGCTCATTTGGAAGAATTTGAAAATTGTGAAAAACAAGAAAAGCTATTGATACCTACAAAGATGAATCTGACTGTCAAGTAGTAAAAAGTCACAAAACAAGTTTGGTCCAGTTAGGTACCTCTGAATTTGGTCATTGA